ACCACACTCAAAATTGCTTAAATCACCTTTCTTTCCCATTCTGACATTCAGTTTGGAGTTCGGGAGATTGTCTTAACCAGGACCACACCTCTAAATGCATTGAAGCAACTGCCATGTGATTGGTTGAAATCGAACAGGTGTTCCTAATAATATTTTAGGGGAGTGTATGTCTGTGATTAGCTACAATGATCAACACTTCAAAAACATGTTGTAAATAGACATCTTTGCTGCTCTTCACCAAGCACTTGCAAAGAACACAGGACAGCGTTGAAAGCAAGCATCTGTCAGCGGATCTGTAATATATCTGCTGTCAGACGGATTCTCTGATAGATCCTTGTAGCCAATCACAGACATATATTTTGAGCGCATGAACACAATGGCCAATCAGAGGTGTTTAAGAATCTGTTCAACAGTGCTCAAAACACTAGAGGGAAATGCTGGTATCGTTCCCATTTTTTTTTTTTTACTTTCAGAACAATATTAGTGTGCTCTCTGATAGCACACGCATATAGCTAAATGAGTAGTCTTTTCACTGCTTACTGTGCTTTAGTGGTTTACAATCACTTGTTTTTAACCGCAATTCTTAAAGAGTAACTAAACCCTAAACCAACTTTTTTTAGTTAATGATCTGTAAGAATGGATCTTTATTAATATCAGTCATTGATTCGAGTAACTTTTTTGACATTTCTGTATAAAGTGTTTTATTTCTACAATATATGGTGTAAAAACGTCTTAGTGCTGCCCTCTTCAGGTTGAACGGTGGCTACTGCAGTTGAATTTTCCTATTGGATGTTCCACACTTCGTGACATACGCAGGTTTCAGCTCACCACGCTCTTGGTACGAATAAAAACCAGCTTGTTTCGTTAAAACCACTGTAGCGAGTCAGGAGTTCGAATTGTGAGTATTGAAAACGATCAGGATAGAGTGTTTTAGCACTATCTCCGCTGGGGTCAGCCCACTTTCTCAGCATTTTCAATTCAAATATTGCCAGTGTGTGGAGTCAGGCTCTGACCAGGGGTTTAGTTACCCTTTAAAAAAAATGCAAAAGATACACTTTCGTGACTGCATAGCAAACATCACGCGATAGTAACTTTGATGGAGACGATAGTCCAAAGTCTCTACCGGTATATCAACCAGCCCAGTTGACAGACTGAATTCCTTAAATTGCAGGTTTGTTATTTATGTGCACAGCCACTCGCCGAACACAAGAATCTGCTTAAAATACACAGAAAGTGCAGAATCAACACACTTGTGAAACAAAAACTGAAGTCCGACACTGTAAAAGATAGAATGCTGTGCTGGAAGCGGCTGTATTTGAACAAAAAAAATAAAAAAAATTAAAAGTCTATTCCAGACTTTCTGCATAGTTAAGGTAGCCCTCGGCCGTTCCCTCGAAACGTGACACTCGTCTCGCTAGAGAAACAACTGGTACCAGCACTAATTGAAATTTTGCATGCAAAGTGACAATAGCCAGGCCCTGGGTAGCATGGATTAGGCACTGAATGGAGGCGGATTCTTTGTGAACGCCACTGTGGAGGCTGGTGTGCAGACAAGCTCCCTGCATCTGCTCATTCAGCGGACTGAGAAAACACATGATTGCGAGCAGCCGCTCACTTTACCTTTATCTAATCCCACTTCTGAACCCCTATCACCACCTCTCTACCCCACACTCTGCGTTTTGTTACCTTCCCGAAAAACTGTACTGCTGTGTCTGCTTATGCTGCAGTAGCCCACACTCGGACGTGACACATTTACATTTGAAAGCAGATTATTCAAACTTGGCAGGCATTTCAAAGTGGAAGTGTTGATATGAGAGCTAAACCGGCTATGTTAACAAACAATAGCTTTAATTATCTCCTCTCTCTATTGTTTAAGAGTATTATGGAAATAGATTATGAAAAGCTTAGCTGAAAAAAACTCTGCACTTGTACAAAATACTAAGCTAAATTTATTTTGGTAGTATTTATAAAACTTCAGAAATACTGATCAAATTTTGATAGCATTACAACGATAAACTGACCAATAAATTCAGAATTAAGAATTATAAATTATAAAAGTCTTTCTTGGAAACAAAAAGTAGCCTATAAACAAAGCAGAAGCTGAAAGAAATATGGAAAATATTCTGATAAAACAAGTTATTCTTTACCCTAAAGACAGAAGTCCATCATGTAGACGAGCACATCAATAAATAAATAGCGTTCAGATATTTACTGTATGGGAACAGACGCAGCTGCTTATGGGATGTCTCAAGATGAGAGAGAATTTGCATTGTATCATGACATTATGACAGCAAAATAGAATGCATGCTGGGAATATTGAAATAGCGAGGAATCTTTTGAACGCCTCGCCTGGCGTCCTACTTACAATAGATGCCAACTCTTGACGTGGTAAAAACAAAATGCAGCTCGGCTGTGGCCTTATGGTATTATTCCCGTTAATAACATTTTAAAACCATGAAACATGGAATTGTGATTTATAATCACATAATGCAAATCCAGCATATACGGTAGTAAAAAATCTATTTTCTAAATGTAAAATCTGATAAGGAATATTGTTTGATTACACTGTGAACCAACTGAGATGCAAAGCAGAATAGCTAAAAATGAAGGCATTAAAATTAGGAACTATGAAATAAAAAGAATAACACAAATATATATTTTTTTACTAATCACTGAAGATGCACAGTTAAAAGGACTAATACTAAATTACACTGTAACTAGTTCAACCGCTGAATAATGCAAGGTGACATACAAAAACTTGTCACTGAGAAAAAACTTCAAAGCCCCTTAGACTGGCAGCATCAAATTAAAATAAAACAATAAAGAGCAGAACCATATTTCATGGACACCTACTGGGAAAAAGCTGTCTAAATTCACATATGCAAATCCAACGTGGGTTTAAAAAAAGCACTTACTTTATTCTTCCACTAAAGGAGTCTCAAACAGAATCTTATATCCTGAGGGTCACCACCACACAACCTAATTAAATTATACTGATAACATTTTACACAGACATGTACACACACAAATTAAATACAAGATAACTATTCTATCCTCACAACTGAAAAAAAAAAATGTAAAATTCCTTGAAATAATTCTAGATAAACACTGTTGTATAAGGCTTTAAAGATGACGTCAAATCTCACCTACCCATCCCATCTACTGCCTGCCATCACTTTGTTTTTAAGGTCGAGGCAGCGTTGACCTCTTTTTCAACTCTCTAATTTTTTATATGTAAGTGCCACGCTTTCACACCATTGGCTGAAAAACTAGGGTGATAGACAGAGGAAACTGCAAATCGACCAATCACTCCAGGGTTTGTGATTAAGCGATCCACAAGGGAAAATATATATGCATATAAATATATAAAATTATTTAATAATTTAAATAAACATTTCAAAACATGAAGACTGATAAATATAGTGTGTGTGTGTGTGTGTGTGTGTGAATCTCTTTTCCAAGATGCAATGTAGAAATCATCATTTATACTTTTCTTGAACAGCGAAGACGATACTAAAGGCAACATAGCCTATTACTAAAAAAAAAAGAAAGAAAGAAAAAGGTCAAACCTTTGAGGACCATAAGGCCTCTAAAAGTAATCAGAAAAATTATTTTGATTCCTTTATTAAACACTGAGGCTTTTTCTAATTTTTGAATTATAATTACTGCACATATTAATACAGTAGTTATTAAATGTGTGTGCACATTTCAATTTAAATTGAATTAAACTGGCCCTAGAAAAAAAAAATCTACATTTTTGGCGAATATTGGGGGGAGAAAATACCCAAAAATATTTGCCCGCTTTGTTCAAGTGACTTATATATGATAATAATTAATGGTCAGAACTTGATTGAAATCTCTGTACAACATTTAAAAAGTTATAAAAATGTTGAAGTAATTGGTTTAGCCTATGCTGCTCCATATAAATGTTTTAAGAAAGATTTAATAGCAAAGGTAAAAAAGGCGGTCATGCAGTACTGTTGAATGAACTCTTATTTAATTAAAATAGATTTGTGCCCGAGTATGCAAATGTACATGTTCATTTTATTATGCACATAACTAGGGTACACTGTTAGCCTCATGTTTTGAGGATACTAAATTTGAGCATGATAAAACCTTGAAAAAAATATTTTCAGTTAAAACCTCCAGTCTAAAAGTACAGAATCGAGTAGGGTATGCCTATATTAATCCATTACATGACATTAAACTCAAGTATCATTAAACTTGAGAACTAAAGCCACAAGAGGTTCCTGTAATACCAGCAGTGCCTACTTAAAATTCATTGAGTATAATTTACTGGACACAGACACTTCAAATCGCCTGGGATTGAATGTGTGGTCAGTAAGTGAGAATAAAGGACTGTATGGTTGTTTTGTTATTGCATTCTCACTGGAAACCTGCTTCATTGTCCAACATGCTGAGTCCAGCATCACCATTTCAGCTCTGAATTCCCGCTGAACACGAGCGTAAAACAACATGTGAATGCGTAACAAGAGAATTAAATAGTAATAATGAAAAATAAAAAAAGATTCATATATAGAAGTGGTTCGGGTTTAATATTTCACCTTGGAAATGATTGTACAAATAAGGGGCGCGAATCTCGTGCAAGGTTCGCGCACGCACACGTATCAGCGCGTGGAGATAAAAAATAATGCGTTTTATGCTCCTACTGAACACGAAAAGATGATAAATATATTATTTCTCAAACTCACTCTGATACTGTACAAATAAATGCGTTTCTAAGCCACCTGTGATGTTTTAACAAAATAGTTCGCATGACAGAACAAGCCTTATCAAAGGGATACGTTCTTGTCAGCGGGAAAGCAACCGTTGAAAAATGTCACATTTGTCCCAGTATCATTCCACATTCGTTAATTAGCGAAAACATGGTTTCGTATCTTATTTCTAGAAAGGCATTCAAAACTAACGTGCCGTGACCGTAAACTCTGTGTCTGTCGGCAAGATGCTGGACTCGCAAACCACGGGGAGAAACATCTTACCTTCAACAGCCAGGACCGAGGGTAGTAGTGTCCATAAAATCCATAGGATATCCATCATTGGTTTCTTAGGGGTGAAATTGTATAAAGTCCAGACATTCAAATAAATTGTGCCCTGAAAGCCATTGATATGAGACACTGGCGCAGACCGGCAGACTTCCACCTTCCGTTGAATGAATACGATGCCATAAACACAACTAAAATCCAAAGCGAGTATGGACGAGACCAAATGAGTCAGACGAGGGGGGAGGGTGGTTAGAAACGCCGCGTTAGATCGGCCACATAATGAATGTGGATAAGAAACGTCGCTTTATAAATACCAAAAACTTGTAATAAATATAATGTCATTGATAAGTATCGACCCAAGCGCATTCCCATCGGTTAGACTACAAAAGAGTGAACCAATCCAACCCGAAAGCGCTCATTTCTTCTTTCCCACCTGTCAATCAAGGCAAGAGCATAACTATTCAGCCTTATCAGCGGATGCTCGGTAGAAAAGTGTGACAATTGGGAATACAGGGATATGCGAATTTAGACAGACTCTGAGATTATTTATGAAGATTAATCGAAATATGTTTGTTACAGTTGCACTAATGGTAGCTAATGGAATAGTATGTCGCCTTTTTTTCTGTTGCCCAATTTCTTCATAAAAAAGTAAAGGTAAGACGGCTTTTAAAATTACTGTGAAACGAGGGGACACATAAATATCGGAAAGCGTAAAAGTAGCCTAGATATATGCTTTATTGCATATACTTTATTAGGCCTACATTGATATAAACATTAGCCTATGTAAAAATATATAAAAGTAAAAAAATTATATATTTTTTATTTTATTTTTAATTTTTTTTTCACATGCATTGTGTACAATTGTAACTTAGTTTTGAAAACACAGATGTTTTATGTGTACACGCTGAAGCAAAATCAATGAGAGCACAATGTGTCTGTGTCTGGCAGCTGTGACAAACTCACTAGGCCTCATTTGCAATTTTAACAATGTGTGTCAACTGACTAACAACATTTTCAATGCGTTTGTGTAGGTGCCTAAAACAACATATGCAATTCAAATAGGTTAGCAAGAATAAGCAGCAAAAAACACAACAGAAAGGTTAAGTTTATCCAACCAAAATATAATAAAAAGATAATTCGTCCCTCAGATGACAAATAAAATAAAAACAAATCTTTGAGAAATTGTAGCAGTCTTTCTCCATTGTCCAAACAAGACATGTTTACCATAAATTCAAATTGTCACCATAATTTACACCATTTCCTTTCAGGTCCCGAGTGATAAAAAAATAAAAAGGAACCTTGAAACCTTGTGATGAGTGAATCACTATATTTTCTAATCACTGATTCGACTGAAAAGCGTCTTGGAAAGAGATGGAGGTTATATTTGTTATGTGAATATAACAGGATCATGGTGTAAGCTATAAATTATGCACCTGCTCTTTCCTTTCTACTGCTCGCTTAGATTAAGCTCATTTGAAATGTAATAATATAGAAGTAGCAGACTTTGTGAAGAAAGAAAGAAAGAAAGAAAGAAAGAAAGAAAGAAAGAAAGAAAGAAAGAAAGAAAGAAAGAAAGAAAGAAAGAAAGATGTGCTCTATGTGAAGCTTTTTGTGTTATTCTTGCCAACAGCTCAGTTAACTTGAAAATCTTTCGAAAGTCTAGAACTAGAGTTACCTGATCCCAAATGGTTGTGTCCTATAAATCACTATACAGAATGTCCATCTTTACTAAGTAATTTGTTGAGTTTGTTAAATAAAGTTCCACAAAAAAGGTCAATATAGGTACAAAGTTGTATTGAATATTTACTGCATTGCCCACTATGTTTCAGTAAATCAATCTTTTCAAAAAATCTATGCAGAAATTGCAAAGGCAATCAAGGCATGCAAGGCTTTTCGGTTTTAAATCTATATTATGAGTGGATTTACCCTAAAGTAAGAATGTGGCCTGAAAACAATTTAAATGGTAAATGGTAAATGGACTGCATTTATATAGCGCCTTCATAGACCTAATGGCCACCAAAGCGCTTTACATTTGCCTCACATTCACCCATTCACACACTCATTCATACACCGACGGCGTATTTGAATTGAATTTAGCTTCAATTAAATCACCTCCTCTTCCTTAGTTTAAAGCAAATCTATAAGCTGTTTTTATCAGTGCATTAATAAGTGACAGTCACTGGCGACAGTGGTACGGTTTAAAAAAAAATACATTTTACATATCAGACAACCAGAGAAGAAGAAAAAATTTAGGACAGAATAAAATCCCTCAAACTTAATGTATAAACTTTTTGACCTGTCAGTTGTAGTTTGTAAGAAGCGACAGCTGAATTTTTGCATAAACAGAATTTTTAAATATTCCTTAAAGCAATATACGACTGCTTTCCTGTTTCAGCAGCTGGTAGTGTGATCCAAATATAGCTGAATTACCAACAAATGAGGCGAAGGTGGGCGAAGGTGGACACAGGCGGTAAAGTTCGGAGAAGCCCACAAGATGATTCTCTACACAGATGGAATAAAATGAGTTTTTCTGAGCGACAGTAGCGGGCTATGTATGGGGCACAGGCTTCAGATTAATGGCAGCTGAGACTGCTTTTACCATTCCCCGCGAGGTCACGGAATCATGACCAAGTAAATCACGGCCGACTTAGAGGATCACAATATATCAGAACGCAGATATAGACCTATAAGGTGTCTGTCTAAATAACCCGAAACTTGCGGGCAATGACAGGATTAAGTTATTCTATTCCCTGTTATTGAATTTGGAATCTGCGTTTTGTTAGTCCATGCTCTCATGGAACAAAGCTGTTATTGTAATATAAAGAACTGGCAGTATTTTACTTGAAAATACCAGTCAGTCTGTGGAGAAATATCAAAGGATATAAAACTAGACTAACCATGGGAGACTGGACTTTAATACTTTGACTAATGTCTGCTGGAATATCAAGTACGAAATGTTTTAAATTATTTTTATCATTTCCCGTATGGAAAAGAATGTGTATTGTGAATTGATACCATTCTCTAATATCACAGTATACATCAAAGAGAAAACTACTGTGTGTGTGAATTAGATTCTGGTGGAGTTATTTAGCCTGAACAAAAACCTTCACATTATAACATTAACAACAAGGATTGACTTTTTTTTTTTTTTTAAGAAAGGGTTTAATTTATTTATATAGTTTCAGCTTTGAGTTTTTGGATAAATATTTTTAACTGCATAATATTATAGCACCAAACAGATTTTGTTTTGGTTTTCTTGTAAAACTTTTATGCAAAACCATGTATAAAAAAACTCAAAATAAAATTATATAAAACGCAAAACACTTGCAAGGCAATACACCAGATAAGAGAGCGGTTTAAAAGTTTTTTACATTTTTGAAAGGATATTATAATTTATATTTTTAGAAATAAAAAAATTAAGAAAATGATATATGCTCAACACTGGACCCAGTAAAAAACTTAGCACTAGCAAGCTATATTTAAATTCAAGTTTTGTTTTGCAATTGGAAAATTGATTAATAAGCATAACACGTACATAACTGTAAAACATGATCAATATCAAAACAAAATGTACACAATCAATATATAAAATCAAACTGAACACAAAGCAAAACTTACGAATGCTTTCAAACCAAACTCAATCTGTTTATTTTATTTTGCAGTATATTTTTGATAATTACATATCTAAAAAAAAATAATTATAAAGACGCTTAAAGTTAAGCCTTAAAGTTCAACACATCAGTCAAATAAATAACGGTATCTGAATAAATGTGTGATGTGTGTAACTTCAATTTGACTCTACTGAACATAAAAAGTACCAAATTGCTTCAACAGCGCCACCTAGAGGCGGAGTTGCACCTCTCTCTTCATTCTCAATCTTGCCTTTTAGTTTTTGATGCATGTAGAATAAAAAAAAAAAAATTCTTTAGATTCAAAGTATGAATACTTAAACTTTGGGCTATACTACATAACAATGGTGTCTATTCAAATTGAACTTGAGAAAAAAAATCAATTCATAGAAAAAATGCATCTCAAGTATCTCATAAATCAACTGTAAAATCAACCCATGAGAGTGGCTACACAAAATCCCACATTTTAAAACTTCTAAATCAATGTTTTCCCAGTATCCATTCACAAGCAGAGCCATTAAACAACCATTTAGCCAGTGTTCAAGACACCCTTATCTGTATTTTGTTATTGGCATGGCAGTAATGAAGGTAGACTTTAAAGTGCTCTGCTATCTGTTAAGTATGTGTGCTTGATCTCTGACCTTTGTGGCAGATCCTGGCTGCTTTAAAATCTGAGAAGACTCTTCAGATGTGAATTAACCCTCAAGGGACACCGCCTCACAGGTCAGAGAAAAAAAGATAAGGCCTTTATACCGGTACTTCACATTCAAGGCTTAAAATTAAACTTGGGCTTGACTCGAGGATGGTATTCCACATGGGGTTTCTTTTGCAGTTATAACTTCCTTTCTTTTTTTAAGCTGACAAATGAGCCTTTCCAGCGATAAGGGTTGAATGCAATATGTGAATTTGAAAGTTAATGAATTCTATTCTTCAGTGATCACAATAATCCAATCCATTGATATACAACGCCGGCTCTCTGTACTTATTCTGTGGTCAGGTTTACTGCTTATCCTGTTCACTTAAGTCATCCTATTAGTGTTTCAGTGACTCGCTGCCAAAACATGAATTTAACCTCAATTAGGCTGTGCAGATTTAATCAAAAGGCCAGAAGTCCTGTCCCTCTTTAATTAACTTATGGAGGATTCAAAGTGTAACTTATGTGATCAGAGTTCCTATAAAAGACAGCGGGGGGAAATCAGAGTTTTAAATTGGAGGAAAGTCATTCTTATAAAGTAGTTTTAGCCATTTCTCATACCGCATTACCTCACTTTTGGGTAGTTTGGTCGCAAGAATGCTTTGTTGAAGTGCTCAGTCGGTGTGTCATCCTGTAGCATTGCATCTTTATCCGTTTGTGAGGGAGAAAAGCCTCGTGTTAAACAGTCTCGGAGAACTAAACCTCACAAATCAGCCACTGCAATGCAGGACATGGGTTTTATCACCAGAATAAATCCACGTCTGTTACGAGAAAAGCACAGCCTCTGCTGAAATGATTCAAGGCAAAGTGCATCTTTCAGCGTTTGTCGTCAAT